TTCAACCTATTTTTAACATTTTTCAAACTATTATTTACATATTTCGTCAAGGTAAAAAAATCAGAAGTAATAAATTATATAGACGTTTACCAATCTGAAGACAGACGGCATTCAAAGCTTATGGGGATCCATCAAGGGTATATACTTGGTAAATGGTGAAGGGAAACACTTATTATCAGCTTAATTTGAGATAGATCTTCAAGATGCCGCTAAAAGGATGCATCTTGTTCTGCATACATACAAACATGCATTTTATCCCTGTCTCCACGCGATGCACACAGTTATTCTACGAAACCGTAACAGTGGTTAACAAGATGGTAATGGGGAACAAGAGCCACCAATGAGATGGTCATTATGTAATTTAGTTGGGAGATGGGTCCTAAGAACAACAGAATGATGGACTAAAATGTGAGTTGCTTCAATATCGAGGATGAGGTCTTGACGAAAGACGTTTGTCTTAACCATATCTTCGCATTTGGATTTTCAAAGAGTTGACCTACCGGTAAGGACAAAAGTTCAGAAGAGTCGCAAGGGAAATAAGTCAGACAAGATGGTGTCAAATATCCTTTGTGTCCTGTATTATACCGCTATATAATTAAAAGAATACAAAGAATGTAAGGCGACAGACGACTGGTTCAACAAGATGTGTACTTCGAGGACATTTCGAGTAATTTGAGAGCCAAGGTTACCTTGAATGAGAGTTCCATGTTTTCCTCCCAGTACAGGAGTGCAGGGTCATAGGTGCCAAGTGTTGTGAAGTAATTCCTGTCAATGGCGAACAAACCTCCCGGCATAGTGGCTGACCTGTCACATAAAAGATACAGTAGTGACTGAGTTTAACGCCGCACTCAGCAATATTCCAGCTAAATGGCGTCGGTCTGTAAATAATTGAGTCTGGCCCAGTCAAGCAAGTGATCAACATCATGAAGATCAATCTATGCAATTGGGATACGATGACATCTGTCAACCTAGTCAGCGAGCCTCGACCAATTCGATCCCGTTAGCCGCCTCTTACGGCAAACATGGGTTACTGAAGATCAATTCCAACCCGGATCTTCACTGGCATAAAAGATACAGTAGATTAAACTATGAATTTTTTTTAGAAATCTTTTAGCCTGATTGTACAGCTGAATTCGTGTTAGATAAACGAAGCATGTCATATTGTGTATTGATGTATATATATTTACATCCCTGATACAATCGCCCACCACAAGGTTTGAGGTTCAGGATGTAAACACCCAGTCACAACTGCTCATGATACATTTTTTAATACTCAGGATATCAAACACATTTTGTCTATATATTTCCACGCCTCTGGGATGAGGATCCAGAATATGCGTACTAAAACCGTATATATTACCTTTATAGGATCAGCAGTGGACTTGCGCAGTTTCTCCTCCACGCTCTCTGGGATGAGGATCCAGGTGAAAATAAGGTTCTGCCAGTTGAATACCCCTATCTGATTTCGTCCATAGATAGCAGAAACTGCCAAAGTGGTCCTGTCCATAGAGGCGAAACTGCCAAAGTGGTCCTTTGTCAATGTAGGAATATGCGGGAAGGGAACGTTCTTCGGTTCTCAGCGATGCGATCAAGCAGGGTTCCAGCCAGCCTGTAATAGGGGCACAGACAGGTCTGATTAACGGCATTCGTGTGGGTGTGGTTTCTAGTATCGACGTGCGGCATCGATTGTAAACAAAACACAAGATATTGTTTAACGACAAGAAGAGTACGAAATTGCGGGACGCGTATGAGTAGACAGACATATTGTCTAAACCCCTCTTAACCTTGAATAGACAGCCAATATAGAATGCATCAGTCATTAAAACACAAATAATTATTTATAATATTAATTGTGTTCTGTTCAACATTTGAACCTTATTTACCTTTTACTCTTCAGTTGATGATGTCAATTCGAGTAGATGTCCTCTGAATCATTGTTTTACTGGTCATCGAGAAAGTCTTCAAGGAGACATTATACCTCTAAGCAAAATCGTTACCAATGCCCTCTGTGTAATCAAATCATTGTATGAAGCATGCCACGGATTGTTTGACGCCCTCATACGTCCATTAGATTGGTTGGTTGTTGTGTGGCCCCGCAATCAGCAATATTCCAGCTATATATGGCTGCGATCTATAAATAATGGAGTCTGGACTAGACAATCCAGTGATCGCCATCATGAGCATCTATCTACGCAACGCCGTTAGTCGCTTCTACGACACGCGTGACCCAGACCTTCAAGGGTAACTTCCATTAGACCAAGTGAGGACATCAATAGGAGCCTTCTACAAAACAAATGGCATATTCAAGCTTCGACGAGTCAACTACAAGTGCAGCCTATTGACCAGACTCTATATATTCAAACATTCCGATGGATCTCTGATGTCCAGTTTGACTTTGTTTCAGGGGAAACGTTCATGGTCACCGTCTATTTGAATTTTTATACATGTGATATTGCCTGTTAGCTTGCTGTATGTGATGCACATATTTATAGAGGTCACAGATACGATCGTTTCTGTGAATACGTCATATCATAGTACGGTGTGGAAATGTGGAGTTACTCGCCGATCTGGAGACATGCTGAGGTGCTTGAACTGAGGTAACTTGTTGTTTTGATTACGTTTTTTAGAGGTGCGATTACTTTAAGCATTTTAAAAAATAAATACTGCCCATGATATACTCTATAGGTTTAAGCATGAGTACCTGGGAAGCACTCTACATGCGAGTCTAGGAAGATCTAGACAGGACCCTTGGCGATCTCATACCCTATCAGTCGGCCTCGGGTCAGACCCTCCCGTTTGGTTGTCCTCAGAATCTTCACCAGAGGATAATCCGACATATATCTTTTCAGGGGACCTTCAGATAATCTGCAGGAGGCATGAAACAACAATATTCAAAGAGTAAATATACTATTTTTATTTATATGTCTTACATTTATTCATTTATTTTTATGAAGCTACATTCTTTTCATAAATGGATTACGAACATTAATCTAAATGAAGGCTGTGGTGTGTCAGGATCTGCTGATTGGTAGGGAGCGAACTATGTCTTAATAACTTTGCGAATGTGAACGGGAATAAAATGGGTTGGGGCGTTCTGTATGAACGTATGAATACAGTTTCAAACGTCTTTCGGGTACCATTTCTTTCAGATAGTATATATACTGAGGGAAAAAATAAGGGATCACATGAAAGCACAAGTGTTCCATTATTTTTTCCAGGTTTCGTCACAAGCGTTGTATCGCATAGCTTCACAAGCGTTGTATCGCATAGCTTCACAAGCGTTGTATCGCATAGCTTCACAAGCGTTGTATCGCATAGCTTCACAAGCGTTGTATCGCATAGCTTCACAAGCGTTGTATCGCATAGCTTCACAAGCGTTGTATCGCATAGCTTCACAAGCGTTGTATCGCATAGCTTCACAAGCGTTGTATCGCATAGCTTCACAAGTGTTGTATCGCATAGCTTCACAAGTGTTGTATCTCCTAGCTTCACAAGCGTTGTATCACATAGCTTCACAAGCGTTGTATCCTCATAGCTTCACAAGCGTTGTATCGCATAGCTTCACAGGCGTTGTATCCCCATAGCTTCACAGGCGTTGTATTGCAAAGCTTCACAGGCGTTGTATCGCACAGCTTCACAAGCATTGTATCGCACAGCTTCACAAGCGTTGTATCGCACAGCTTCACAAGCGTTGTATCGCACAGCTTCACAAGCGTTGTATCGCATAGCTTCACAGGCTTTGTATCGCATAGCTTCACAGGCTTTGTATCGCATAGCTTCACAGGCTTTGTATCGCATAGCTTCACAGGCGTTGTATCGCATAGCTTCACAGGCGTTGTGTCGCACAGCTTCACAAGCGTTGTGTCGCACAGCTTCACAAGCGTTGTGTCGCACAGCTTCACAAGCGTTGTATCGCACAGCTTCACAAGCTTTGTATCGCATAGCTTCACAAGCGTTGTATCGCATAGCTTCACAAGCGTTGTATCGCATAGCTTCACAAGCGTTGTATCGCATAGCTTCACAAGCGTTGTATCGCATAGCTTCACAAGCGTTGTATCGCATAGCTTCACAAGCGTTGTATCGCATAGCTTCACAAGCGTTGTATCGCATAGCTTCACAAGTGTTGTATCGCATAGCTTGTGAAGAAACCTGGAAACAAATAAAGGAACACCCGTGCTTTCATGTGATCCCTTATTTTTTCCCTCAGTATATATTCATATTTCTCAATCATTAGTCAGCAGGTTACATTGTCAGTATCATGTCGTCATCTATCTCCCTCTGAGATCACACGTACACTACCTCTAATTATGCCTATAAACGGCATGTTCAACATCGTTCCACGTAACGATTAAATGCTCCCCTGGTAAGAAGAATTTGAAAAAATGCATTGATTGTTTGTTGTTTGACGCGGCCCCAGTAATATTCCATCTATATCTATTTGAGGAATTGCGAAACTAAAACAATAGATATAAGTAGTGTGTATCTCCTGTCATTGGTTCTTGTAGACAGATCTCGTAGGCCGTTGTTGGGTTACAAGCCTTGATATGGTTTTAAGTTCCTTGATATGTTAGGACGCTGACCTTCATCACAGTACTTGGCATACTGTACAAACTTAAGTTGTGTAATTTCTGGATGTAAAGCTTCCATTCTCAAAACAAAAATAGCTGGTGCGTTTTGATCTGCATAGCTTTAGGACTTGTCATAGAGAGGTCATCGGTCAGCACAAAATGGTATCAGTCACCCCGCCCATTCGTCAAATATTAGCCATAACACAATTGTGCGGCTTTCGAATGAGAATTTCTGCTTGACGTTATTTTATGAAAAGTATGGGTATGAACCACCCTTTCATATTCCAAATCTGAACTGCTTCACTGTACCAAAACATGCCCCCCCAGGTGTCTACAAATAGGGATCGCGATCAGTCTATCACCATACCTCGATGAAATATTCATACTGCTCTTAATACTATACTCTTATCGATATGTCGATACTTGGTCGAATACTGGAGGGTGACGTGATAGTGTTGGAATTTTGCTGATCGTTGTGTGAAGTAACATATCTTTCTTTCTGAATTGCATATTCGCAAGATACAACTGCCTCCTGATTACTGCAATATAGGACGGACGTCATTGATTGTGTTGTTGATGAGAGGCGTGTGGTCAAGTAGTCAATTGTCACTATACAGAAACATTGATGTGACTTGATAAGACAAGTTTCGTGATTTTTATATGCATAGGGAAGTCAATAGTCTCACCAGACGAAGAGAAATCATCTACGAGGATAATCTCCGCAGCAGATGTGATGGTGATCTGTCCAGGATACTGTGGACTGTCCGAAGCAAGACCGACCATGCCTCGTCTTTGAAGAAGCAAATGATGACGCTCGCCATGGACAGGTTTGGGCGGAATGTTTGACCCTTACATCTTACAACAAAGACAACTAATACAGATATACATATATCAATCACATTACAAAAACGTTGCTCTGACATCTATACTAATGTATAGATAATAACATAAGAACATAATAAACCATATGAAGAAACTAATTTTGCTCCCGTCAGAATAAAGTGTATTACGCACACAGGATATGACCTTGCCGATAAAATGAGCTGCAAGCCACACTGAATAACCCCAGTGCAACATTCAGAATATTGACTGTCACAGTAGATACGTACTCTTGTGACCTCGTGTCCCGCAGACGTCGGTGTACGGAGATTCTGTCACTGACGTAGACGTTGAAGTAATGCACACGGAACATTTTGTCCATTACTTTCTTCTCTGTGGTGTTGAGTTTAGGAATGTAAGGCACACCAAATTCTCCTGCAACAACGTAGGTACGGAAACATCAGTTTCAGTTACGTGCAGCAATCGGAACATCTTTTGATAAGCTTTCATCATCTCGTAAAATGATGCTGTCATGAAAACAAGACAAAGATATTTATAATTGGTTCTCAAAAAAATGACCAAAGCAACGACCATTATCCATCATTAAAATCCTAAGTTTCGCCCAAAGACGTCGTTGGTTGTCACATCATATTTGTGACGTCATGTCATTACCACGTGGAAGATGGCATGCTCATTTCCATGCATTTTCTCCTGCGAATCACGTCTGACGTCACTGTAAGATCTACACAAGAGTTTAGTATCATGGAAATATTTATTATTGATAAGAATTAATTCTGTCTCTTTATGCTGTAATACGATAACCACGTCCCTAATGCCTTGACATCTGTGGAAACAGCTCAGCTTCCCTTGATAATTACGTATAACATGCCCAGACCGATAACAATAATACTTACCCGGACCATTTTCGGGGCTGTTTTAACAAACTGTGGATATGGTGTGTCCGAGACTTGTTTATGGTGGAGTCTCTCACTGTCTACCTCCTTGTCTCTTGGCAACTGTACCTGAACACGTTCCAGGTCATGTGGGGACTCCATCCTTCCTGGCAAGAGCCTTATCTTTTATTTGGTTCAGTAGGGATATGTGATCTACACTTTGCTGAACCTTATCTTTCGTGTTATTCCAATCCCCGGCAAATCCTGGTTCATTATATCCAGGTTCGTTTTGATCTCTCAATGCCACACCATGGCGGGCAAATGTGACACCATTGCTCTCTACCAGTCCATTGTCGTCTTTCTGATTGATTGTTTCAGTATCAAGCGATACATCAACTAATGTTGCAATAAGCAAATATGCGGTAATACCCATGCAAAGAAGTAAAAAGCGAAACATTAAGCGAAAATATTTCCTCATGTTTAGTAGTACTATACCACACAGGGTTTGGATATGCAATTAATCCCACTCGGACTCAGGTCTGAAAAGGAGAAAAGAAAGGTATTAGGTTTTAGTTCGTGAGCTCATGTTTCGACATTGTGACGTTTTTAAGGATATTGTGACGATTGCGAAAATGTACTTTTAGTTTTAATTCAGGACTGACCACATTTCAACACTGAAGTATGACAGGGCGATGGTAAGAACCTAAAGGAATCAACGACCAAGAGTTGCCTTACTCTGTACTTGCACTCATTGCAATAAAGAAGTTGACTTGGTTTTCCTTCACCTATACAACTTCTAAAATGCTCTCTCACAGAAGTTAGGTACTGTATCCTCCCCATGGTTCCTCCTAGTATGGCGATATACCTTCAGTTGTTGGCAATCTATAGCCTGTCATTATATTGTATTGTCATGTATGCTTTAATTACTTGTTCTATATTTATATCTGTGATAATCCAGTTGTTTTACTGACCTTCGTTGACAGAATTTTATAATTTACATTTAACTGTTCATTTATTTTAATTTGATTTAGTCACGATATGGCTGAAATATTGCCGATGTGACTTAAAATCTTAACTCACTCACTCAAAGAAGTTAGTCTGTATTGTCACTTGCATCTCACAACAGGACTGAATGGAGATGAAAACTCAACTATAAAATTAAATACAATAATTATAAATATTAAATATTATATTATAAACGAGGAAGGGTGTGAAGACGAACCACATACAGCAAATGTTTTATGATCGGCGAAGAAATAATCTCACGTTGATACGTTGAGATTCTATCAGATTGTCAATGATAAATAACCCGGAAATCAGGCTAGAAGCTGGAGTTGAAAGGAGCTTTGTAAACATAAATATTTATCCTATTAATGTGACGATATGAAATAGGTGTTAACACAAAAAACACAGCCAGCCTTCAAGTGTTTCAGATTATCTCGATGTTTGTGAAACACTGAAACATTAAAACCAGCACACAACCAAGATTCGAAATAAACTTACATTCATACTGACATCAATAAAATTTCATAATGAATAATTAGTTGTTTATGAAACATTAATAATTATTATGTATATAACATCGTATTTCTTCATACCTGATGCATGTTCATATCCTCTACAGTGCATAATCCATGTATCTGAATAGATGCTTCACTTATAGAGCAAGAATTGGAATGATTATATTTTCAATAAACACGTCTGTTTGCATAAGGCAACACTTACAGCAGTTTGGTTTGAGAGTAACAGGTTGTTGCAGACCAGGTAGAAGTCAATAAACGGCCACACATGTGTCACGGACGACGTTATTCTGTTGCGTATGTACAACGTGACCAATCAGGCGTATCGGATTCGTGTAATCGATAATTGACCTTCAGGGGCGTTCATTACAAGGATCGTTAGTCGTGTTTTTCTGACACATCCATTCTTCTAATGGAAGCAGGTGGTTTCTATCACTGTATTAAACCCACATTTACAGTGATCACTTGTAGATCGAAGAATAGATATGCGTAATCAAATATATATTATAGACCGATAATAGAGGATAAAGGCAAGCATTTATGGATATCACCATCTTCATTTTGAGGAAAAACGACGTTTCGGGGTATATTTGGTTATATATTAATGTAAACCCAATGAAACAGATAACTTTATAAGTACATGTGAAATAACAACAGTGATAAGATAGCAAAGGAAGCCAGTAGTTAAATGGCGCCGATTGTATGACCTCTAAATGGTAGAGAATTTATATGTAGGTTTAAAAAGGATATACGTATGTTTACATTCCCTTTGTTCACGTACTGTTGTTTCTATACTACCTAGTGGCATTATGCCATGCCATCCAGGCAAGTCCCATCTACAGGAGCCTGTTATACCATTAAGCATTTTAACTTAAATACTAAACTCAGATACTTTATGTTGATACCGAGTCCTGCTCTTGTTGTATTCCCTAAATCCGAGTGCCAGACAAGGTAATCAAAGTATTCATGTTATAAAGTTGCCTTCTCAAGGTACGACTTGTAGTAACAGCTTGTATCACGCAACATAGTTGCAACGTGAGAACACTCAAATAGTAACGATGTGAAATCACATACAACTAGTCGCAGCTAAGCTGTAAGACATAGGATTTGTCGCAAGCTATCGACTACTGAAATCGTGGAAACACGACTGAAAAATTGACCTTACCCGAGAGAAAACCGATCGATGTATAGGTGTTTAGTTGTTACAGGGATGTTGATGGAATGGGTGTCGTACCTGGAAGTAGACATTTGTTATTACAGTAAAAATCCTTTGATGTTCGGCCGAGGTAGATACATGTTGTTTTAAAGGATTAATGAGATGGGTGACACTAAAACTTGAACTGGTGAGTGAACTCGGAGTTCACTAATTAGTGATATGAACTCACTAGTTCTAACTATGAACATAGCGTTGCTGATATGAACTCACTAGTTAAATGACAAATAACACAATTATGATTATTTGATTGATATCAACTCACAAATTGACAGTGTTGACAATATCATTTTGTGATATTTGTGTATATTTATTGAACTTCATTGTATACATATGACTTATGAAATAAAAGTAAGAACGAAACTATGCTATGTATTTTGTTTTAATACCTTGGGAAATGGTTTGTGGATGTATTCCATCTATTTACCAGTTAACATTTTTTGTATGACCCATGTGGTTGAAATAACATAGAACCTCCATTGTTCTTTTCTGGAGGCAGTGGACTCCTTACATGCTCCACTGGTTTGTTGTTTTAAAACATCACAAATGTCTACAAACGTCTCGAGTTCTCATGTGATTCTCACGTATGGATTCGTCGAGTGAAGAAGACAGGCTAGCCTTAATGCCAGTCGCAGTCACTACAGTCCGTTTTATTTCATTTCAGACGTATGAATTGCTCACTAACAGAAAATCGAATAATTGCAACAAAACCAAATTTTGCACAGTTATGCGCATGAGATCGACAAACCAACTCTGATGATTTGTCTCATAATTCTTTGGACACCCTGAATAAAAATGTTGTTTAACACACGATCATTATTTTGTTGTCACTTTTCACAAGTAGGGACCACCAAAGTCTCTTCTGGTAGAACAGCCAGGTAATCAACAATCGTTTGAAGCGGAAATTTCAATTTCATACGTGCAACTCGCACACCTGGCTGTTCTACCACCAAGTGGTCCCTATTGTGCAAAAATTTGGTTTTGCTGCATTTATTAGATTTTGTGGTAGTAAGGCAATTCATCGGTCTAAAAATGAAATTAAACAGGCAATAATAAAGAAGGAGAGTAGACTTTAATCGGTATAGGTCCGCAGCTGGATTCTTAGTCGGAGGACGGCTGAGCGTATAGGGATAGGTGGCTCAGGTTGTACATTCCATGGTGAGTTCATATCAGCAACTATGTTCATAGTTAGAACTAGTGAGTTCATATCACTAATTAGTGAACTCCGAGTTCACTCACCAGTTCAAGTTTTAGTGTCACCCATCTCATTAATCCTTTAAAACAACATGTATCTACCTCGGCCGAACATCAAAGGATTTTTACTGTAATAACAAATGTCTACTTACCAGGTACGACACCGTTTTTTTTGTAACTATTGGCGGCGCCTCTTGTGTAAACATCCACCACCTTGTACACATCTACCTCATTAATTGACATCAGGACACCATTTACTGCTAAGTTGTCAAGTAAAATCAAAGAGGCAGCCATCAGCAACAGGCACATGTGACGTCATGTCACTTGATACCCTCTGCTCATTAACTGTCGGGTGTTTCCGTAAAGGCGGAAATGCGAGTGATACGTTTTAGTGTTTTTATTGCTGCTATTACTTTTGTTCAATCTTAATCACGGAAGTTGACTTTTAGAATATCCTTTAGAATATATTTTTGTTTTCGTTCGGATTCTCATTTAATAGTTAAAATTCCGTTGTTAGCCCAGTGTCTGATAAAGTTGTTTGGGTTTTAAAGTTATGATTGAGCCATATGGGTTGGGATAAGATTTCATTTATGTTGTCATCATCTTCAATAGAGTTTTTAGTATAATATAATTCCCATTCCTTCAAGACATCCCTCAAAAGGTTTTCAATTTCAACAATATTCTCAAACTTTGCGCCATACTTTAATATTTGTTTTAATGGAAACTTGCATGGATTACTTACATTTTCTTTTCTGATATATAGTCTGAGGATGCATAGTTTCATAGCATTAACAAAGGTTTTGATATCAATCATGCGTAAACCCCCTTCTTTATAATCCTTTTCAAAATGCTCCGTTTGATTTTGTCAATTTTATTATCAAATATATCTAGAAAATATTCTCTCTAGAGAAGTAAGAAATTCATCTGGTGGGTTAGGTAACGTATTAAAGATATGCACCAATTTTGAAAGAGCCAGTGTTTTAATAACAGTAATTTTGCCAACCAATGTTAATTTTCTATTTCTCCATGTCGCTAGTGAAATCTATTAATGTCTTCTAGTATTTTTTCTTGTGTTGAATAACCCACAAATCATTTAAGTCAGGGAGTAACTTGAATTCCTAAGACTTCGAATTAATTTCTTTGCCATTCTATATTCAAGTCTTGACAAAGTATGTCTCTGCCTCCAGCTTTAGAGCTGTCGTAATTGGGATTTGGGTGTTAGTAAAGCCCTACTACCAGTTACCTATTCAGATGGCCGTTCCACATTGTCAGGGGTGATGTAAGCTCAAGTTACACCATCGCTTGGTCCATGGGGATGTTAAGTCTAGGAGTGAGAGGTCAGACGACTGTAACTCCTCAATAAGCACATTTCATTTATGTGCTGGCACTCTAGCATACAATGAATAACTCAACACCAGGTTTTATACTCACATAGATTTACTCGATCCCTCTCTTCATTACAAGGTGCGTGGTCTGGACAGGATGGGGCAAGCTCTTCACCAGATATGGATATCGATCGCGATGCGAACGCTCTGCTGACTTTGTAACCCGCACCACTTTCTAGTGCTGATGGTATCTTTTTAAGGTGTTTTCGAGCCTGCTCCACCCTTGTCACATGACCCTATACAATCCCTCTGATTTGTTAAAAATAACATCATTCCATGGTCTCATGTCTTGCCTCGTGATCGGAAAATTACTGAAAACTCTCATATGTGATTCATTGTTCATTATTTCCTAAAAGGACTTTGATGTTCTGTCAATAAGATTTATCCTGTTGTTTGATCCCTTACTTTATTACCAAGCCGTAATAGCATTGCTTTTCTGATGCAATCACCGTAATCCTCACTAACGAATTTGTGGTACGTTTCTTGTATAACAGATGCCTTTTTAACCTTATAACAGAGCCAACTCAATGAAACTGTTGTAGAAATGAAGGAAATACCAAAACAATATTATGTAACGGTTTGTTGCTTGCAATGATTGAAAGCCATGGTTATTGGATATCAATGAGTTAATTCATCATATTTTCTTACGAAAAAACCAATCCGTGAATTATTGACATTTTTCTTTTTAAATTCAGTAATTTGGGACATTGAAATTCATGAATGCCTCTGGAAACTGGTTTCCTATAATTATTGCAGTCACATTGGTTTGTGTTTGACTGTTTCTTTTTTCGACAATGTTGGGGCAGAACCATAGATCATTGCAAAAATGTCTACCACATTTACAAGTCTTGTAAAATTTGAGGATATACAAGACATTTACAATTTTGTAAAGATGATGTTTAAAATACATTTACAAACTTGTAAACAATGCTGCAACCAATGAATGAAATAAACAACAGATATCGTAAATTACAACCAACAAAATAGATGATTAATATCAGAGAGCTACCTTCTTCGAGTAATGTATCCGTCAATATCCTCATAATGGAACAATATATACTTCATCTGCAGCTGACAAAGAAACGTATTCGATGTTACGTGTCTTTTACCAATCTGGTACTGTAATATATACTGATATATATTTCCACGGACACGTTTCAAACTGTCACGCAACTCAGGTGTTTCATACTGGTGTAAAGTCTAAATGCCCACCAACAAATCATTTAGTTTAAAACAATGCACATTCATTAGAAGCAAACCTTAAATATTAATCAGTATAATTTGATACATCTAAGCATTTGTATATTGGAACACAGCGCTCCTTATAACCCTTGCAAACATGTCGTGCAGCGTGCTCTGTTATTACTGCGAGCACCGACAAACAGAAACCTGGAAATCGTGGAAAGATACTGGGAGTGGGGT